GGGGTTTGGGCAGCCAGCCCTTCTGCAGCCAGGGATCAGCACTCACACGAGCTCACCAACGGGGAAATCAAGTGATGATCCCACAGACCAGAGCTCTGGGCCCGCTCACATCCAGCCCTTTGCTGGCTTTTACTCCCCTCCTTTATAAAACCAAGGGGAAGAATCCCCAGCTCATGACTCACAGCCCCGCAAGCGCAAGCTCTCCCCTCCCATTAAACCCAAGCCCACAGCCTTCAGCTCTATTAGGCCGGCTAATTGCCTTTAATTCACTTGAAAACACCGCTCTAACTGCGGGTAGGATTGCTACCTCCTCAGCTCCATATGCTTCTACCTCCTTTGCTCTGAGCGCTGCGTCCTGCCCACAGCCTTTTAAAAATAAAGTGAGTTTCCCACAGGGAGGTCCGGGCCCCGCGAGCGGAACGGGGGGGCTGTCAGAGCTGTTTACTCCCAGGCTGTTATTTGTGGTTTCCCCTGGGCAGCGAGTCGGTTGTTCCATTCTTCTGCCCCATCTCTTCAGCGCCGTGTTTATATCTTTGTTCTTCGGGAGGAGGAAGAAAAGGAAACCGAGTGGAAAGGACAGATAACACCCTGCACGCCGCTTCCGGAGGGGACCCATCGGGAGCCTTCTTAGAGCCCTTCCAGGTCGTCGGAAATGAAGCAAGACGTTTTTTTGGTTTGGGTTTTTTTTGTTTGTTTTTTTTCACAAGACAAATTTGAAAATTTCCCTGAGCTCTGCAAGCCCTGATACAAGCTCACACCACCAGTTACAACAGCAGGACAAAAGACCTCACCCCTGGGAGGCTGAAGACCACGTTTTGCTGCCCTAAAGACTAACATGAAAAAAAAAGAAACCCAGAGCAGAAACCGAAACCTACAGCAGAAATTGCAGCTGAACTCCTCCAGAAAGACAGCAGCTACCCCAACCCCTTCCAGCTGAGCCTCAGCCCTGCTCTAAGGGCAGTTTTATACCTGGAAAAGGGGTGCAGCTGAGCAGGATTGATGGGGCTGGCAGACACATGCCCTTAGCCAGGAGCAGGGGGGTTTAAAGAACAAGCATTGGCTCCCCAGGGTCTAATTCACTGCTCTGTCAGAGACACCCCAATCCTCTTTTGACCCAGCCAAGGAGAAAGAATAAAATGCAAACTGAAAAGAAACTTCTCTGAGCAAATCGGCTTAAAGACTATCTGTAAGACATCACTAGATTAGTGCCACACGTTACAAACACTGCGGTGCTGTGACCTGCAGCTGATGGCAACACCTTGCACAACTAGTTTTTCCCTTTGCAAACTGCATAGGGACTGCACACTTAAAAAGCATCCACTTTTTGGGAAGAACAATTCCACTAAGGAGGTAACTGTAGCATATAATATATAAAAACTTAGAGGGAGGAGAAATTCATGACCACATCTGCAGGGTAAAACCTGCTCCTCCAGCGCCGCACGCTGAATATCAGCAGGGGCAGGAGCAGCTCGTGCATCCACGGGCACAAAGGTCCCAGCCCAGGTCTGCCAGGAACAGATGTGTTTTCCAAGAAGAGTTTTTCCAAAGAGACTCTCAGGCTTCAAGGTCTGAGCAAGAACCTGGACCCAACTTGCATCCTCACCGATGAAGCGACCAGGTCACATCACAAGCGCTGGGGCTCGCAACGGTTCCGTACTCAAATACTCCTTGAGAGGGTTGAAAAAGGGTGAACTGAAGAAGCAGAAATCCTTGCTCAACTGCATCGTTCTTCTGGGGCTGAACTTCAGACTGCTACCCCTTGGCAACTCGCTGTGGCAACCCCGAAAGGCAAAAAGGCTCCATGACCTGCAGTGCTACACGGAAGCAGCACAGACACTCCCGTCACCCCCACAGCTCTGCTGTTGAGGACAACAGCATCACGGCTCATCAGCCACATCCAGCAGAGCTGCTAAGCTCTCCCAGGGTAAAAACAACTCCATGACATTCCAACTTTCTTCTGCTTCGGTCCCAGACCTCCCACCGGCACGAGGTCAAACCTTCCCCGGCCACGCTCTGGGCTGGTGGATGTTCAAGCTGGGAAAAGCAGGTCTTTCACCCAGTAGTTGCTCCTTTCCTGTCCTCCTATGTCCACTCCCTGGGGAGGACTACAGGGTGCTGGATGGAGGTATTACTGGAAATCCCACCAGAAAAAGGGTACTTTAAAGAGCTTTCAAGGTATTTGTAAAGGCCAGAGGGAAACACCAGGGCTGCAGGGAGGCAGTGAATGAACACGGTGCTATAACT